CCCCAAAACCCCAAAACCCCAAAACCCCAAAACCCCAAAACCCCAATTTCCAATATGGGTGTTGAAACTTGTAGTGCTTACTTCTTAGCATATAACTTGATGAAAACAGGAATGAGGAGGCAAACTCCTACTATCGATATCCCAATGTAGTCAGATTTAACGAAAGTGTAGCCAAACACCAAAGCGTCTGCTAGCAAGGTGAAAATGTTCTCTGTATAAAGAAGTGGTGACAATTTTGAGGCTTCTTCATACTGCATGGCTAAACTTAGAGGACCGATGCACAGTCAGGCACCGATTCCGACTCATGATAGCAAAATTATGTCTACCAAGTCATATTGAAATGTACTTGGATAGCCTGCCAACAATAGGAAGCAATTATATCACACTACAATCGCGATAAAGAACATTCCGACATTAGCCGGCCTCACAGTGAAATGGATCTTTTGGGAGCTGATGATCCTTACAAGGATGAAAATGACTGCTTGTAGCCATGCTCAGGTTACAACAAGAATTACACCAAGAATTAAGTTATCCCCTTGATCACTTTCTTCTTTTTTATTCAGAGATAAAAAGTAAATCCCAATAAGAGCTCCAATTGCTGAAAAGACGATGGGTTTGGATAATTTCTCCCGCAAAATTAGGAAGGACAAAACTACGCTAAATATAGGATTTGTGCTATAAATCAGCGTACTCTTGCCAACTGGGATCCAAGAAATAGCTTTAAACATGCCCAGCTGGACCAAAAATGTCACCACGAGACTTAACAACAGAGCAATTAATGGTGTTTTTGGCAAGTTTGTGACTGATAACTGAACTCCCAGGATCTTCGCCCACGTGATATACACAATGGAGAGCCAGATTCCGAAGAATGTGACACAGTCAAAGCCTCCAAGTGCTGGATTCCTGGTGAAAGCAATCTTTGAGAAAATATGTCCTCAAGTGAATCCTGAAATAGCAATAAACATAAAGAGGTATCCTAAATAGGTATTTTTCTTAGGAGAAGGCTCCTCAACTTGACCTGGTTCTTGAATTTCAAATGAATGCTTCTCATGGCTCAGAATAGATCTGACTTGTTCAACGACACTTTTCTCTTCCTTGGGGGTTGATAATAGCTTCTCCGAATCTTCTGTAAAACTCAATTCCTTTTTCATTAAAAGTTGATCAATAAATATAATATTTCGATGAAAATCTTATTTTTCAATCATTTCTGGTTACAAAGGGGTTTTGGGGTTTTGGGGTTTTGGGGTTTTGGGG